GTCTTGTGGATTATTTCTCTTTTGTTAGAGGTCAAGGAGAGGTCAGAATACTTTGTGGGCTACCATGTTAGATCTATGCTCTTGCAAAGGGGAAAAAAAAACAACAACCAAAAAACAAGATAAAAGCAAAAATAAAGGAGGTACAAAACCAAATATCAAAACTGCTAACAGAAAAACATCTCATTTTCTACATTGTTAGGTTTGACACTCTCCTGCTGCCATGAGTCAAATCATTACCAATTTTTTGCTCATTTACTTCAAACACACACATAGAGGCTAACACACACATTTTCAGATCAAGGATCAATTTGATTTACAGACATGCATTATTACCAACTCGTAAAGAAAAGAGCATAAATGCACAAATCTTAGCAATGATTACTAATTACAGCATGTCAAAACTTCAAAATTAGATCTGTAATGTTATTTAGTAACAAAATCCCTATGCTTTTGAGTCAGGAGAACACACACAAAGTAAATTTTGTAGGATGTAGTACTTTTTTTCTCCATTAAGGCCTTATTTATCCAATCCCAAAAATAACTTTCAATGACAATTATCGGCCATTTTTGAGAGGTATCTGTTCTTATATGTCACACTGGATGATAATGAGTGGAACAGCATTGCACATTAGTGCTCATTTATGGCTTAAATCTAATGGAATGTGGGGTGCTGTACAGATGTTACTTAAATCCTTCTTCAACAGAGTGATTAAAATTTACAAATTAACAGTTCTGCTCACAGCAGATGCCGAGCATTTTAGTAGTGGCATAAAATTCTTCTACTTTCTCTGGAGGATCTGCTTAAGCTGCACATTTAAAATTCCGTGTAAAATGCACAATGAGATTGCAATCATTGAAAAGAATGACAAAGACTGTTAGTGTTCAATGATAAGGTGGTTAATTATTGTTTGTTATATTTAAAGTGCTGGTGTGGTGAATGCATTTTCTTCAGGAACCAGATTGCCATTACAAAAACAATATGATCCATTTTAATTAATGAAATTTAAAAAAAAACCCCAAGATGAATTGTCAAGATAGAGATATTGTAATTCATAAATGATAAAATAGTCCTATACTCTGTTTTCATTAATCAGATTAAATGTCAGAGAGATCTATTAGCAAAAAAACCTGTTCAGTTAATAAAACAAAAAATTAAAGAGTAATAAATGAACAGTTACTTATAAGTGAAATGGCCATTTTGTGATAGTTTTTATTTTAGTTTAGTTTTTCAAGCAGTACAAACTATACAGTATATGTTACCTACTGTATGAAATATGTTATAGTTTGTTGCAAAAGGAAGCATGATATACCTTTACTTAAATTTATAATATGCAAATTTCCATAGTCTCATTGAATATAAATCTTTATCCTCCAAAACAAAAGTGTTTTGGGGATGAGCCCAACAGGTATAGTACATTACATTCTAAATGAACTGGGATATTTGTAAATATATATTGTATTGTTTCTGTGCTTGCTTTAAAAACATTTGCATTTTCAGAATGGTCTAAAATTCCCAGTTTTATATTCTTCAAGATTGAAATTGTAAAATATTTCATTAAAAGGTACATTTTTATAGATTTTTTATTCTTATTGTCTGGTTATACAGGTTTCTGCAGAGGTGAACAGCTGTGGCACATTAAAAAATGACTGAATAAGAGACTCAAATTCATTGTAAGGTGTTCAGTATGTCACAGAAAGGCATTTGTACGCCTTGGTGAAAATGTACTGTATGTGCTGTTCATGTTTGTTAAAGGGGAAAAAAGAATACACTGAGCTCTTACTTTTGTTTCCATGTGTGCTTTTACAGTTTATTTCTTATCTTGTTCCAAAACAGTGGGTTCCTCGTGACAATTGCGGACAGCCTCGGGAATGACAGTTAAGCAAATCATTGCTTGGGGACATCAGAAGAGCACTTTGCATTGCATCTCTGTAGTGCAATGCCAGCATTGTGCTCTTCTCGAGCTTTTGCACCGGCCACTGTCCCATTGGCAGAGCAGGCCAGAGCAGAAGCAACAATGTTGAGAAACAGAATTGCACTTTCCAAGATAGGCATATTTACGTATTTATAAACCCCTCACAATTCTGGCTTTCAATAGAATAGAAGCAGATAAAAGTGGATTTTTTTAACTGATATGGCCAGCAGCCATATCACTCTGCAACTCACAACTGGCAATCCACTGAAGCTAAGCAGGTGTGAGCCTGGTCAGTACCTGGATGGAAGACCTCCTGGAAAAAACTAAGGATGCTGCTGGGAGAGGTGTTAGTGGGGCCAGCAGGGGACGCTCACCCTGCGGTCTGTGTGGGTTCTAATGCACCAGTATAGTGACAGGGACACTATAATATAAACAGGCATCGCCCTTCGGATGAGATGTAAAAATCGAGGGAATTTCTCGAAAAGAGTAGGGGTGTAACCCCGGCGTCCTGGCCAAATTTCCCATTGGCCCTTACCAATCATGGCCTCCTAATAATCCCCATCTATGAATTGGCTTCATTACTCTGGTCTCCTCCCCACTGATAGCTGATGTGTGGTGAGCGTTCTGGCACTATGGCTGCCGTCGCATCATCCAGGTGGATGCTGCACATTGGTGGTGGTGGAGGGAATCCCCATTACCTGTGAAGTGCTTTGAATGGAGTGTCCAGAAAAGTGCTATATAAGTGTAAGCAATTATTATATATTTTTTGGTAGCATCAGGCAATTCATGTTTGCAGTCTGACAAATTTACATAAGGGAATTTCTGTTTTTCTTTCTTTCACAAAATAGGTGTTGGGTGGTTTTCTCATTTCAGTTCAAACAGTCACAAGTCTGGGAAATCATGATCACTCAGTTGTGATGACGTGTCAAGATCCAAACGCAACAAAAGGTCTTGCTTTGGTTACACTTTGATATGCGAGAGCAAAATACTAAGATGCTAACATGGACAATTTCAAGTCTAGACAGTATGTGCTAAGTTATTTCTGGATCATGTAATGTTTATACACCATACACAAGATGTAAGGAAATTAAGAGTTTAAAAGAAAGCACCACAACTTTTTTGTCAAATGTGATAATTGAAAGAATAATATTAGTGGTGTTACAAAAGAAAGCAAGAGATGCTGCAGGATTGGCCAGAATACAGAAAATCGAATTAATAAAATGGCGGCATAGGAGAGCTGCAGTGATGCATACTGTATCTCACAGGTGTTTGGTTTTCCTGGTGTGAAAGATAAAGCTTTACAATTTCAGACAGGATTGTTGAAAAGTTTCCTTTTGTAACATGTAACATTGATTTGTGACGATATGCCACATATTTGAAACCTACAGTAGATTGTTTTTAATATGGAATTACTAAACATTTTCTTTTGGACTATGCGCCATTGTCCCGATTAATTTAAAATCAAATGCTGTGGCTGTTATGGTATAATGAAATGTTCAACTACAACTTTAAGTTTCAACAAGCTGTTCAAGTGGCAATGACTATATTGAGCCTTTTGTCTGGATCAGTGAAGCCAAAGTATAAAGAACTTACGCATTTATTATCAAAGAGATACCTCCCAGCTGAATGATTTGTTCCATGCGGGTTTCACTGTAAAGCATATGAAATACGGTATCTCTCATAAAAGGAAATAAAACCTTCATTTGAAAATGGAAGCCATTCTAATAAACTGAAATTTCAGTCTGTGATACTGAGGATTTTTCAAAAAGCTTATGCCAAGAGTGATTACTAATGACAAACAAGTTTGATTCTGCAGTTAAAATGAATTTATTATAATCTGTACAAGCTAAGCAGTAGGAGGTACAGTTTTGATTCAAATGAAAAAATAGAGAGCATATAACAAAATACAGTTCAAGCTTCAAGAACTACATACACATAGGGATATGAACAAGTCTGTTTCAGCAGCTTACTGCAACCCCTCTCATGAAATGAAAAATACATTGCTTTTTTGGGAAGGAAATGCATTGTATTTAAAATTTTAAACTAACACAGTCCACAGAATGAAATATCACAGCGTTCCTTACACAGTTTGCTGATTTGGAAGTGAAAAAGATGGTGCTGGAATAAAAGGACAACTTAGCATATTTTGATATGCTGAAGTTACACTGTGAAAGCACCAGATAAAATAAAGACGACGTGCAGGTCTGAGACAACCCAGTTTGTAACATGTTATGAAAACTGCATTGATCTTAAAGCACGGGAGAGGAAGGATCTATTTCAATCAACAGTGGTTTGCAGTTCACGATGGACAGAAAGAGAAAAGATAAACTTGTAAATCTTCTTTAACCTTCGACAGTAAAAAACTGTACATCGCAAGCAAGACAGTAGAACGATAAGATATGATTTGTGAGAAAGTCTTTTGATTTGGAAACTAATAGCCCATAAATCCTCCATATCTCTTTTCCATATCTGGCACATCTTCAGAGTTAGATTCACCATCTTCCTCCCTGGATCTTTTGAGAAATCCTCCATACCTTTTTTGGTCTTCTTTCCATTCAGGTCTGCCGACCCTTCTCATGAAGCCACCATATCTTTTCTGTAATTCTTTTATCCCATCTTCTAGGTCCTGGCTTCTTCTGACACTTCTCATAAATCCTCCATACCTTTTCATGGTCTCGCCATCACGGTCTCCATGACTCTCCGTCTCTCTGCCAGCGCCGTTCAAGATCTCCTTTAAAAGGCCGACGGTGTCCACTCCGCTCTCCGCGTCTTTCTTCATAAATCCGCCGTACCTCTTGGCTAGAATTTCTCGGCTGCGACTCTCGTCCTCCGGTTCCAGGTTGTAGAGTTCGGCCGTTTTCTTCATGAAGCCGCCGTAGCGCTTCATGAAGCCGCCGTACTTCTTTGCCAGCTGGTGGTCGTCGTTCTCCTGGTCGTCAGTCTCGAGGGCGACGCGTTCGGCCTCCGTCGACGCGTCGGCCTTCTTCCCCGCCAGAACGTCTCGGCACAGGTCCCAGAACTTGGTAGGGGCCAGCCTCCCTTCGCATTCTAATGTACAGGTCTGAAAGAAAATCAGGTCAGCGTAGCCGTGAACAGAATGAATGATACAGGCTTTATTTACATTTCTGTTAATTCAACTCAGGTTCTGCTACTTTTGCCTGTTTCCCGCTGTGCTGCAAAGAATGGAATTCTGCAATTCCGTCCCCAAGGAGCCAGCTTCCCTGAATGCTTTCACACCCAGTCTCAAAACCTTCTTCTGCAGAAAGGCTTTTACTTAATCTGTTCTCTGTCTACCCCTTGCATCTTCTTCTGCAAACTAAACCCTTGTCTTTAATCATGCTAATACTGTGACCCCCTCTCCCTGTTAACTTTTTTTCTCTCATTGTAAAGTGCTTTGAGAAATTACGACCACAGGGCACTATGTAAAATAAAGTTCACAATCACTTCTAAGACAGAGACGAAGTTACTTCCTCATGCAAAAACACGGTTTTACGAAATTTCTGAAGCAGTTTTTTCCCTAAAACTGTAAACAGTGTGAAAAACACACTTTTATTTCAGGTAGTGCCAGAGCCCATAAGCACAAAGTATTGTTGTGTGCAATCACCCAAGACTTCATTGCTGATGCCAGTTTTTGCTTCGCATTAGCAGTTCTTAAACATGTGGCCAATTTATTAAACAGGCCCGTGGTGGAGGAGTGCCTGGGATTAGCAAAGTGCTTTCTGTACATTTTTTTATAAATGCCATTTCAAATCCCCCACAGCCTTCTGGGTAAGCTGTCAGGGAATGAATGCAAATAATCAAATGCCTAAAGTGCTGTTATTGAATCGATTTCACACATGTGAAAATGTGAGATGAGCTCCAATCCACTGCGATTTAAGCAGCTGCCAGTTCAAATTTTCTAACATTTAGTCATAATCCATACATATTGATAAAACAATTTCCATGAAAGTTGAATGCAATGAGTTTAATGTTTTTCTGTGTCCGGATTAGCTTCATGTTCATGCAATGACAATCTGGCCACTCTTCAAACTGATGATACAATTAAAATCCTAGGAATGTAATAGAACAGGGTGGCCCTGTGATAGGAACGGACCGGAAAAAAATTAGGAATGCGATATTTAAGGATCTTGCTCAAATCACCATAGGGTCAATCCAAGTATTGGAATCAGACTGCTCTGTTTTGTAAAACTTCATATATCAAATATCAAATATCATATTTTATTTCCGTTGGGTACAATTTCTGTTGAAATCCATGAGAGTTCTATCTTTCTATGAAACCCTTTTCTTAACTGTCACAAAAAATGCAATCTTGCTCAGTTTTTTTCCCCTTGTTAACAAGTTTTTTTTCCCCTTGTTCACATGTTTAGCCAAAAGCTATAAAAGAGTCTTAATTGATTGTACAGGGATAGCCTGCACCTAATAAGACATACTGTATAGATTAACTCCTGCAAATATAGAGCTTTTTGCAATCAATATTCAGGCTGATCCTAACATTTCCATAAAGACTAGTTATATCACAAAACGAAGCATGTTTTAAACCATGAACAACAACAGCATTAGCTCAGTAGGTCTTCCTAGTTATAATAACACAAACATTTGGAAAACAGGTAATAGATTAGAAAAAAAACAAACTTTTAAAATGTATCTGTTTTGCTTTAGTTCACAGGTTTAATTTCCTTTCACTATGTGCACATCTACCTTTTTATAAAGAAAAAGGGAACTTTTCAAACAGTAAAGCTTACCGCGAAAAAGCATTAAAAATAATGTAATGGAAACTTAAAAAGTGATTTCACGTTTGTAACCGTATTACCTCGAAAACCTATTGTTAACGATATAGGGCCATCTAGTGGTTAGAAATGTCCTAGAACTTTTTTTTTACATTCTACTCTATTACAGTCATTTACTAGAAGCGGAAGATTACTGTACTACCATGTTTTCTTAGTTTTCTTAGAAAATTAGAGTCACCTAAAAGTCTTATACCTGCTATATTTGTTCCAGCCAAGTCTTTATAATTCCAATCCTATATTGAACATCTTTGCATTCCTTTGAGAGCTGGTGTCACTGTGAATTCCAATTAAAGTCAACTGAAAAATAATAGATCTTTAAGATGCAAATCTTAAAGCAAAACAAAAAATATTTGATATCTAAACAGTCTAATAGAAAATAAACGTTGAAAACGTCCGAGCGTTTAAGAAAAGCTTAGCATCAAACACATAAAAGAGACACTGACTGACAACATATTAGAACATGAAAAGATTTAAAATATTTTATGAAGCACTTTAGGAATTGCACGACCGTTCATCTGTTACCAATGGTCACTTTTATAACAGAGCTGAGAAAGTACCATTTACTGTATTCTCCATACAGCAGAAGATCAGCATCATTAAAATGAAACAGCGACATACATAGAAACATTTTATCGGCTTTTTCACCTTTATACAGACCACCATCAGAAGCTCTTAGACGCTTCACGTTTGTCATTCAGCTATTAAATGAATAAGTAATAGGTTTATTCCATGCTGAAAAAAAGAAGAAAGAGAACACAACGTTTCGGCCGTGGAGTCTTCTTCAGGTGCTTGAAGAAGGCTCCACGGCCGAAACGTTGTGTTCTCTTTCTTCTTTTTTTTCAGCATGGAATAAACCTATTACTTGTTCCTTTGCAGCCTACGCATGCTGACGCAGCTACCCACCTGAACTATTAAATGAATATGTAATTGAGTGAGAAAAAGTCTAAGTACAGTCGATAGGCGCAACATATTGAAGTTGTAGCACGGGATAAAACACATCTCTCGAAGCAGAACTTGAAAAAGGAGCTGAGGTTTTTTTTTGTGCTAGTTTTACATGATAGTGCTTTCTATTTCTGTAATTGATCCAATTAATATCGAGGTCAATTAGTTTTTTTGTAAAAACCCTACACATTCTCGCCCATACTGATCAGCAGAAAACGCTTGATCGACGCTGCCCTTGGTCCTGAAACATGAAGTACTCCGAATGCACTGTTTTTTTCATCGCCAGCTTCCCCACACACACACACCCCACGTGTCTTGTTTTAGTTTCAACTACTTCTCATTAAAACGTGCCTTTGAAATGTATGTTAAGAGACGACAACAAGACAGCGGCATTCACGAAATCGAGTTACTTTCTAATTCTTTTCACCGTCATCGGGAGGAAAAAATACCGAGGAACTACAAAGTATCACTGCTACTACAATGCCGATCGTCCACCGCACCACAGTTAGAAAAAGGGATACAATGGGTACAATTTTGAAGGACAGCTTTCTTTTGCAGTTTACAACTTTTTAAATAATAACAGTTATCCTTGTGGTAAGTTTACTTACAACAGCGTTTATTTCTGCCTGGTGTTCTTGAAGGTGGTATGCGCAATACGCACAATCTTTGCCACATTCAGCTTTTACCGACAGGATGAGACAGACACTCAGAACCAGCATCCAACAGGAGCATTTTACTGTTAACGCCATGGGCTGGAAAAAAGAAAAGAAGGAAACAGGAAAAAAGTTAATGACACTGATAACGCTAACAACCTGCCGTGTATCTGTACGATTTATCCGCAGACCAGCAAGAGCTTCATCAAAGTTTTCCTGAATGTGAACACCGTTTTGGAACAGGTCTGCGACCTGTTATTTAACGCTGTTTACTCAGAATTCAATAATAAAAATCGAACCAAGATCAAATTTTCTGTTCAATTTTAGGTTTTTGACCCTTTTAAAAAGTTAAATAAGGGTGAGATCAAAGTTCTTTGAAACACATTATTCAATGGTATTAATCCTTTTAAGTCACTCAATACACTGCAACTGCACTGTAACTGAAACAGTAAAACAGTAAAAGTGTAGCAAAATACGCTCTTGGAAAAAAAATAAATGTTTTTAAAACCAAAACCTTAAATACGCTTTTATAAATTACCCTGTCCTTTTAACATACTGTAGCTCTGTTCAGTGCTTACCTTTCCTTTGCGCGCCAGATAGCCAAACCCTTCGAAGTTTCAAGCTGCACTGACAGCAACTGCGCTGCGCAACAAATATTTATACAGGAGCCAGCCAATCCCTCTAGAGAAAATCTAGTAAGAGAAATGACCCGCAATTAAACTAAAATACTACTAAATCTTACTGTCTGACGTCTTCTCTATGTAAAAACCAGACGAAGAGCTGTCATGTGAAAGACACACACACTTTGCAGTGTCGGTAACGTTTATGCACAATTGAATGGACTAAAACTGAAGATGAAGAAGGGTCGTAAATATTTATATACTTAACGAGAAGGGGAGTGGGGGGAAACATGCAGAGATGTTTAAAAGTGTTTCTGACGTATGGTGACGCACACAAAACACCGGCGATTGGGGTTATCGTGAACTGTAAGAATTGGAATATGTGGAACTAACTGGTGTTAAGGACAGTAATTACTCTTTATTTGGTAATTCAAAGATTTTCCTCTATGTGTCCATTACGTATATTTAGTGCAGCCAATGAGCTATGTAAACAACTTTTAATTAGTACGATAGATAAAACCAGCACTAACTTAATACCGATGACTGTCAGTGTGTTTGTGATGTTAAATTCTGTCAAATATAATTAACAATTTTCAATAAAATTTCATTATAAGCACTGGAATGTACACGGAGATTGAGGTGTTGCACTGAAGGGGTGAGATTGTTGCAGAGTAATTTGTCCGTATACGGACAAAAAAAAGCTTGCAGGAAAACATGGCAGAAACAGTGAACACGATGCTTTGTAAAAATGATGAAAGCATGGTTTATCATCCACATACTAATGACCAAGCCAAGTCAGCTGCTCTGTTTCGGTAAGCTCGGTTGAGAAGTCTAAAAGAAAATACCAATTTATTTTTTTAAGAAAATTGTGAGCTTGCCACAAACATGCTAGTAGCATCAGCGGTAACGCAGTGATAAATGAATTAGAAAACTAAATGAGTGTTAAGTGTAAATCTTGAAGGATTGTAGTGAGCGGAGTCTCGCCTTGCACATAATTTCAGTGATAAGCAAAACCTAATTTTGTAATCTTCAAGAAAGCAGCTGGAAGAAAATGTTTTGACTTACAGTATGCGAGTCTCAAACCAAAAGATTTGTGAGGAACTAATTTCTTCAGGTTTTGTACTTAACGCCTGATTTGTCATTGAGCGCGAATCATCCTTTCGAATGAGTTAGGCCTTTCAGAAAATTTACAATAGCATGTCCAGCAATTTTAAACATTTTATATGCCCTAGCTGCAAGTGACAGAAAACATTTAACTGAATTAATTACCTGACTATTATAAAAGTCGTCAATTCTATCTATAATGAGCGCTAGTCTCTTTACTGTATCAAACGACCAATGACATCAATACAAGTATTTAGAAATTTCTAGAAAATCCTATTCTTTAAACAGTCAATTTAAATATCACGCAGCTCTCACCATTATTTGCCAGGAGAGTTCTTGTAGCTTAAGGCATCCTGACCAGCAGTCCAGAAGCTTCCGTGACTAAACACACATAAATTAGTGGCCCTGTGATTTCAGTGCTGTCTTCAGTTTGGATTAGCTATTTTCTTTTGGGTTTTTTTTAGTGAACTTTAGGAACCGAACGCTTCATATGACAACTTTTTGTTTGTGTTGCACAATTCATTTTTCTAAATAACGCAATAAGCAATGGAAGATGCAATGGTAGTGTTGAAATTAAATAAACGACAGACAACGAATGAATGCAGTTTAAACTGAAAACGCAGTCTTGTCTTTGTAGTACATGAGAATATTTACTTCATTCCACCCAAGTTATCATTTTATTCAGTGGTATTGTTCCACTGTTCCAATTTCTTAAGATATTGTTGTCATAGGTGCTACTATCACAACATTTTAAAGTATAAGCTTTACATTGAACCCATTTGAAAAAGGAGTAGCTTTTTCAAACAAGTTTCAGCAATGGCTGCGAGTTCTACATCTGAGACCTGAGCTCTGTTCCAGAATGGCCATTATGAGGAGTTTGTGTTTTCTGCCCACATCCGTGTATTTCTTCCCAATCACACATATGCAATCAATTATCAGCAAAATAAATTGATCAATCTGCCCCACTCCAATCCATTACACTGTCAGTAATTGCACAATACCAACTTCCACCCCACACTTACTGTACGTCTACAAAAATGCACACATGTGAGTGTGTCCCTCATATAAAACTAATTAATTCCCAGCAACCCCAAAATCCCTGCTGGCCCATTCTGATAGCACATGGGAAAATTGCTCTGCATGAATTCTTCAGCATGTTTCACAATCAGAAGTCACCAAGGGATCCATCTGAGAATATCCTCCACATCTGGAATCTCAGAACCCGGGAGCTGAGATACATCATCTGTGCTGATATTGGGTGAGCCAGTCTTATCATGAACTTGAAAATCAAAGAGTTGCAATGAAATATATTTCACTTCCTGATCCCTTGCAGCACTGGGGCCCTGGGTTAAATTGCAGACCTGTCTGCTTGGAGTTTTTTTGTGCTTTGTTTGCATGGGTTTTCTCCCACAGTCCAAAGACATACTGGTAGGTAAATAGGCTTCTGGAAAAAAACTGGTTCAGGTGCGAATGTGTGTATGTGCTCTGTGATGGACTGGTGTCCTGTCCAACGTGTGTCCTGCCTTGGATCCGTAGCTTGCCAAGACAGGCTCCAGCTCCACCACAAACTGAATCGGATGGATGGATACAACTTCATGATACAGTGTAAAACAGTCATTTCAAGGCTTTATGATCTGTCTCTAAAACAAACAGGCTCCCGAGTGTCTTGACCATAACTGGGTGTAAACGTCCTGATATTCAAAGGACAGATGCAGCTTAGAAAACAGAGTGAATGTGAAGAAAGTGTATAATACAGAACCAGAAATATAAACCAAAACATAAACCATTAAAAAATATAAACCTTAAACCGAGCAACGCAAACCTTTTAAACCAAATGACTTTCTCATATTCAAAACGTTAATATATCCAGGTCATTTCAAGCATTTCTGGATTCAAATCTTTGAAAAGTCAACAACTGGGCAAGGAGGAATAAGATAGGAAAAGTTTTTTTTATTTAATTCTTGCATTTTCTGACAACTGTGCCTTAACAGGAATCTAATTTAATGAACACGGGGAGGTGATGCTTCAGAGATATTTTCATTTCTTAAATTCTGAAAACAGCTTCAGAAGTTGGAAAAGAAACCAAAATGACAAACAATGAAAAATAACGAAACGACTGTGGCGCAAGTACTGTATTTTATTACATAAGTAATGATATAGAATAGATTACCATAATTATTTTCAAGGGCAACCTGTAAACCTCTTAGAAGGAAAATTATATATTGATTAAAAAATGATAAAGTATAAATTTAACAGTGGCTGCTAAATGTTATTGCTTTATAATTTCATACATAATTGATTTGAGTTCAATTACCAATAGCTGTCTTTGCTAAATATTTGAACAGTTAATTTTGAATGTTCAGCCACTCTTTTTGCAACAATGTTTTTTAACTGAGGAAACTAAGCAGTGATGCTGTAATGCAGCCTGTCCTCCATGTCTTTAAAAGTCCCATCACAAGATGGCATTAATTAGCATATTCAATGCCACCTTTACCTCCTTTTAAAGTTCATGGGCCTGCAAATGGGAACGTACTGAGGCAGAGTTTAATGATGAAATGCAAGCCGAAGTATGTTCTGGTATAGGACCTTTAGAAATATAAAGCAGAAAATATCTAAAATCTATCAGTGAATTTTTAAACCTTGTCTCATATTTAATTGAAGGTACAGTTATCTAAATGGTAATCAATCTTATTGCTACTTTTTTAGGAGA